TGGGTTGGGGATGATACTGGGCTACATCCACTGTGAGGAGTTAGGCAATATCCCCTGACCTAAACATCTATTTGAATCTACTGTTTTACATGGGGGTACAAAGCCTCTCAGAGAAAAATAAATTTGAACCAAACCTGGCCAGTATATACCAACATGATTAGAGTAGGGGTATGTGAACAACACAATGAACACCAGATTGCTAGAAGGGCCAGCAGAGCTTGGGAGAGAGAGGCTTAATGATAGAGGAGGGAGGAGTCTGGAAGATGAGCCAATTTCCACAGTAAGACTGATGGTTGAAGAGGACCATGGCTCTGGTTCTTTGTGATGGTTCTTACATAAACTCACCCTATCCCAACTACTCTCATGGTTGTAGGCATGCAGAATGAGTTAAATAAGTGGAAAGAGCTGTCTCTGAAACACTTAAGAACTCAAACATTCTGCTGTAGGGCTTCACATCCTCTTAGCTAGATGAAATATGGAGGGATTCTTCTTACTTTGTGAGAGAGTGTTGTGCTCTCACATGGTCATGATACCACGAGAATTTAGCATATCAGGCAGAGGCATTCAAGGCCAGCATCCATGGTGCACTTAGTGACAGAAACCAGTGGAGCACAGTAGCTTTGACTGATCCATGGGCACAACTGAAACTTTTTAAAGAAACATTGCTAGGGATTGTTATTTCTATAGGAGCAGGTAGAGGTCTAGAATTAGCAAGACTGGTGTATTAATGTTAACATAAACTCCTTGATGCTACTAGCTGCAATAGATGGTAGGGAATATCTGCAATGCTACAGACAAACTACAAGGCAGTCTATGGAATAGAAACAGAGCCACCAGGAGGCAGCAGTTCATGAGTGTGTTTGGAAAAATTGAGGGAGCCTGGTTTGGTGGAGAAGAGACATCAGTACCACTCCAAAGGGTCCAGGGTGAATGCAGACATCTGATCAGTGATAGGAAGCTCTAACAGGCAGTAGGAGAGAGTTGAACTTGAAGCTGTGATGGGAACAGGCAAAAGGTGGGAGCACTGGTGGCTGATGACCAACCTCAGGAGAAGGGTGGGTACTGTGGTAGATGCTTTCTTCACTTTTTTGGTTATGCAGATATTATCTCCACTTCACAGTGGAGGAAACAGGCCAAGATAAGGTGACTGCTTATTCATCAAATATACTCACTTGGAATATAAAGATGATTAAAACACAGTCCTCTTCTTTGAGGACCACAGAATATTGTAGGCGAAAGATACAGAGGCAGACAAGGGCAGGCATAAGCACAAGGTGCAATGAAAGATGTTTCCCAAGTCACAGAGTCAGTAAATGTCAGAGCCAGGAATCAATTCCTGGATTGTCTAGATTCAAACCTTAGCACCTTCCACCACTCTAGCCACACAGCAATAGTTGTCAGAGTCCAAGTTCTGAGGAAGGGCAGTAGCCCTTGATGCTGGCAGGAAATTTTTAAGAGCAAGAAGAGGACAATGGGAATTGAGATGTGGCCTGTACAGGTGACCCAGCAGCAGCTCAGGTCCAGAAGAGATGATGGTGCCCTCAAGGTTACCAGGTCATGGAGGCCCTCCCCTAGGGTAGGACTGATTCCAGAGCCTAGAGGTGGCAGTGTGTGGTTTTAGTTATAGAAGGCAATGGAGGCAATAAACCAGGCTGGTTCTTAGAGAGGCACATTGGGACCAAAGAACGGAGGGTCTCAAAAATCAAGTTGCGATTGAGAGGAGAGGCTATATTGGGAGTGGCAGTGGGGAAATGGGAATGAAATCAGACAATTTTGGGGCTGGAAGGAAAACTTGCCCAGTCTCTAGGATCATCATCTCCTTTTTGCTTCTGTTGAGTTCAATAGATCCTGACAGGATTGTCTGCCTTTTTAGAAACAACTTTCTTTCTTCCTTCCTTCCTTCTTGTTTTATTTATTTAAGTAATCTCTACAGTCAACATGGGGCTCAAACCCATGACCCTGCAATCAAAAGTCATACTCTTTTCTGACAGCCAGGTGCCCCAAACAACTCTTTTGCTTTAAAACCTTGTCTTTTGGGGCGCCTGGGTGGTGCAGTCGGTTAAGCGTCCGACTTCAGCCAGGTCACGATCTCGAGGTCTGTGAGTTCGAGCCCCGCGTCAGGCTCTGGGCTGATGGCTCAGAGCCTGGAGCCTGTTTCCGATTCTGTGTCTCCCTCTCTCTCTGCCCCTCCCCCGTTCATGCTCTGTCTCTCTCTGTCCCAAAAATAAATAAACGTTGAAAAAAAAAATAAAAAAAAATAAAACCTTGTCTTTTTTCTCCCCTCTGAGCACCAGATCTAGAAGAGGCCTGGGGCCCCAATCTTTTCTAATGCTTTGCCTCTACTGACTAGAGTGGCTAGATAGCCTAAGCCAACCTTCCATAGTTGGGGTAGGACTGTGAGCCACATCTCTGGGGCATGTGAATCACCACACTCTCTGAACAGTGGGCAAGGCAGGGAGAAATCAGAGAATGAGAGCTGAAGAGGCTAGGACAGAGAAGGCAAAGTGGAACAGCTTGGGCAAGAGAGCCTCCCTGGGCAGGTGGCTCCATTTGATTTCCGATTTAAAGGGGAGGCTTAGATGGCCAAGAAGAAAAAGGCTAATAAGAAAAATATTAAACTGCAGTGTGTGTGTCCCCAGGGACTTCCTGTTGCCATGACTGACCTCCCGGAGAGCGCCATTCGTTCCCGAGCATGGCAGCTTTATAGGCACTTGTAGGCCTGCAAAGAACACCAATTTGCTGCTGCAGTTTGTTTTGATAACTGAAACTTTCAATAAATCTATATTAAAATCAAAGGGAAAATTAACTAGGCCCCAGTGAGGGGCATAGAGATAAGGGAGCACATTACCACCCTGGCCCCAGCCACCCCACATCCATCTCTTAGTTCAGATTCAGGTCACCAGGGAGATGAATGGCTCAGGCTCATGGGGAACAGCCCTGGGGAAAAGCAGGGTGAAGAAGGCATGACCAGGTCCAGCTCCCACAGCTTCTGCAGCAGAGACTGTGGGCAGTAGGGGGGGAGGGTGAGAAGGTGGGGTGGTGGTGGTGGTCATGGTGGGAAGAAGAGTTGGAGAGAGGTGTGGAGGAGGGGCGAGAATAATAGTAATAAGAGCCAATATTTACTGAACTCTTTATGCTTTATGCTGGATGCCATGCTAAGCATGTTTGTATTTAATTCTACTAAGTAGGTACTAGTATTATCTCCACTCTAGAGATGAAGAAATGGAGCCTCAGAGAGGTAGTGGCTTGCTACAGATGGAGCCAGGACTCAAACCTGAACAGGTTTTCTCTGAGCTCATACTCCTTGTAACCACACTATGCTGTCTTATGCAGCTTACAGGGACTGTGAACAGCAGAAGCAGCTTTCCCGGTTCTTAGATAAAATAGTTTCAGACCCAGTCTGGGTTGTCTCAGCTGTGCCAAGTTTGGGAGCTGTCATGCACTGTTCTTGGGTCCTTGGGTTCTCTGCCCTTCCATTGCTTGGTAAGCCCTACGATTGTTGGCCACCCTTGTGGTTTCAAAGGGCAGCAGAAGAACCAACTTGGTCTCTTTAGCTCCTGCTCTCAGTGTTCACTTTAGCTCAGTCGCTTAATCCAGAAGCCCGGAGGCTGCCCAAGGTATATCTGTGTCTGTGTATTGGACTCAGTTCATCTGCCTCCAAAAATTCACTTGCCCCATCTATACCCCCACACCAGGGCTTTGGCCACTTGGTTTTTGTGGGCAGCCCAGCTGCCATTACGGTCACCTCATTTACTAACACATCTGGTTGTCTTAGCCTCCTCAGGGATAAGGGTTAGGTTTGGACAGAGCCTCCAATGTGCCCACAGTGATGGGACTGCAGTGGGCCTAATTTGGCCAAACCAGGGGCTATGACTCCTCTCATCATTTCTAGTCTGTTGAACCACTGTGCTTTAGGGTGTGGGATCTGGTGTCCCCTGTGGCTACCGGAGTAGTGGGGTAACACAACTCTCCGTTTCTCCCTGATAAGTGATGGTTTTATATGGCCTAAATAAGAGAGCAACTAGTCGTGTTTCTTTTGAAGCTCTGGTCAACTTTATAATACACAACCTTATATTTTCTTTCTTTTCTTCTCTGCCTCACTTCCCTTTGCCTCCTCAACTCTTGCTGCCCAGGGCTTGTATTTCCCAATGAAGTTTTACCACAATAAGCTTTACTCAGGCTGTTTTCTGGGAAACCATAAAACAGAGGGAATCACAACAGAGCCAAAGGCTTGAGGGAGCCAAATGCTGGGTTGGCAGCGGTGTAAGGCACCACGTATGTACTTAGCTCTTAAACTGTTTATTATTTGAATACATTTTGCCTGGTCTTTGTTCAAAAAGAGCTTATAGTCTGGTAAAGTTCTGGAAGCTGTAAAGGTGAGCTCTAGAGTACCAAGTAGGAAAGAGCACATTCTGGAGAAGTTAAGGGGACCATGGATGGCTCCTTGGAGGATACTGGCGCTGGGCCTTAAAAGAAGCCTCCAATCTATAGACAGTAGGTGTACTTCATTCTTACAGCCAAGAAGGTTGGCTGTGCCCTATTCTTAGGCCAGACTCAGGACATAACAAAGCCAAGGACAGGAGAGACCATCTCAGGGCCTCTCATTTGTCTATTTACTTATCTGTTTGTTTGTTCTGCCTCTCTTTTCTCCTCCCCAATATAAAGGCTTCTCAAGGACACAGGTTTTATGTGTCTTATTCACCAATGAATCCTTAGCAACAGAAACAGTGCCTGACACTTAACAGAGACACTATAAATATATATTGACTGACTAATCAACTGGGATTAATGTCTCGATGACATCAACGGGAGGAAGAAGACTCAATTCCAGCTCTAAGAATCAAAGGTTAGGAAGATGTGCATCTACTTTACTGACCTTGGGTTAAGTGACATCTGTCCCTGCTGATGTTTGTTTCATTTGTCCACATTTACCAGATTCCTGCTTTATATTTGGAACTGTGCTGGGTATTACTGATAAACAATATAGAAATAATGCTTACCTTAAGTGAATTTACAGGCCTGGGGGAGAGACAGGGAAATAGACAATTATAAAACAATGCAATAAATTCTGTAAGTGCAGAGTAGAATCACTTAACCTATTATGCAGGATTAAGGAAGACATTCCCTGATAGGGGTATTACTAGGCATTCCCAGTTCAGGCAGGAACCATTATGTTAAAGGTCAGATTTCACAGAGGTAGTAGGGCCCAGAAATTACATCATTTTCTTAAGTGAAAATATGCAAATGGCAGACAGAGGGCTTGGTGACCAAGCTGGTCCCAGAAGATGGTTTCTGGCTGATGGGGAGGCTATCAAAGCCATCGTTGGCCAAGGCCCAGGTTTCCCACTTCAGAACCTGTTACCCGTGGCTTTCCAAAGAGCCATAACCAAGATGAAGAAACACGTCTCGGGCTTTGGCCACACTTCCCTCCAGATGACAGAAGAGACTCTCTGTGGTAGCTCCCTATAGTTGAGGCCAGAACTCTTTTAACTCTGATGTTCCACGGGAACCAACCTGAACAAGTCAGTTCCCTCTTCCGTAGGAAGGCCCTTCAAAAATCTAAGAATTTTCTTCTTAGCCTAAATTCTCCCTCCTCTCAGCTCTCCCCAGACCCACCTCAGAATATGGATGATAATAATGACTTGTTGAATGAACTAATCACGAGCAGTCATCTAAATACAACACGTCATTTTATGAGCCTATACTCACCTCATGAGTATATTGGGAGGTGGGAAAACGGAAATGGGGGACCTGGGTCGCTCCTAGGTCTTAGAAAGTTTTTGTTATTTAAAAAATTTCTTTCACAGCTCGGAAGTGAACTCCCCCTTCACTCTCTTCTGAGTACGTGCAACCTCAAAACTACAAGTCCCATAAGATCGGACGCGGGGAGTCACCATCTTGACAGACCTTAGCGCGCATGTCGGCGGGAGAGCAAGCATTTGGGGAGAAGAAGCCCCGCCCCCCTGCAGCCCATTGGTCGGAGAAGCAAGCGGCGGGCTCAGTGGTTGGCCACCGCGCCCGCCCGTCAGTCGCGTCGGCCGGGGTCAGAGTGCGCGGAGGTGAGTCGGTGTGTTGTGGACTCGTGGTGCTGGCTGCCGCTGTTGAGGCGGCCGGGAACGGGCGGTGGGGAGCGGGCGGAGCTGGCCTTGCCTCTGCCTGGCTGGCGCCGCAGTCGGCGCGGGCCGCGCCCGCCGCCGTAAACTGCCCCGAGCGCCTGCTGAGGCCGAGGGAGACGTCGGGGCCTGCACCTGGAGGGAGCCTGCCGCGCTGGCCCCGAGGAGGGGGCGTTGCCATGGCGACAGCCTCTCCCGCCGCTGACGGGGGGCGGGGGCGGCCCTGGGAAGGAGGGCTGGTCTCCTGGCCCCCTGCCCCTCCCCTTACTCTCCCCTGGACTTGGATGGGTCCGAGTTGGGGGCAACACCCTGGGGTGGGTGATGGGGAGAGGCCCCCCAGATTGGGCCCTGGTTAATGCATGCGGGGTGAGGGTCGCGGCGCGCACACTATGTGCAACCTGGGGTGCTAGCCCACGTGCTCACCCTGGATGCATGATCTGAATAACGTTCGGGCTGAGAGGGAGCGGGGCAGGGCTTTGCAAGACCGACTGGGTGAGGTGATTAAGGGTGCTAACTTCTTACTTAGGGCTACTAGGGAAGAGCAAGAGGTTTGACCACAGAGGACATAACTCAGTAAAGAGGTGGTAGATAGAATAACCCATTCTTCCCTCTCCAGCACACACACGGTGTTAGCATTTTACCTATTTGTAAATCTGTAGCAGTGGTAGTAGCGATGGTAGGAGTGAGTAAGGGGCCTAACCTAGCTAGCTTTCTGTTTGCTTTTCCTGCAAATGTTCCAGCAACAGGTGTTTTCTTAAAACAAAAAAGCATGAACTTGGATTAGGGCTTGACTGCGGGTTCTTGCAAAATGTAACTGCTCCTAGTTGACTTGGAAGATGCTGAATGTGGCCCCTTATGGGGGGTTTGGATTCTGCCCTTAGGGTTGGATTTTGCAAATTGATAATGCCCATCATTGTCTCTGCTCTAGGTCTCTGGCCACCTCTATGGTATTAGCTCTTATCAGACATTTTATCATTCTGTGAGCTGAGGGGCAAAAAAACACGAATCCCATTGGTTAAAAACTATACGCTATTTGAACTATAGTAGGTGTGATTGGCTGAATTGATTCTTGATTGTAGCGTTTCTACCAGAAATTGGCTTCATCAAATTCTGCTTTATTCTGACTTTATCATACATGGCATGCCTTGTTTTAGTGGGTTCGTGCCTGGAGCTTAAGTATATTATACCTGAATCCCCTACCATTTAAAAGCCAATTTATAAACAGGGACTTGGAGTGTGACTCCACTAATGTGTGTGTCTGTGATCTTGGTTAGAAACCCACTTGGCTGCCTTTCCTCAGAGAGGTGGGGTGTGGGGGAAGGGAGCTGCCGGGAAGTGATTGATAAGGTTTCCTTTATGGATTCTGTGGTGCTTCACTGGAGCTCAGAGCACTTTGGCAACTTAAGCACTCCAAATTAAAAGCTCGTTAACAATTCCTGCCCAAAGATCCTGTAAATAATCGGTTAGCTAGGTCCTAGAGCTTGGCTGAGAGCTCTCCTTCCAACTTGAAATTTCCAAATAAAAGTGCCTTTATTCTCTTTCATTTTGAAAAGTGTATTCTTTGTGGTCGGTTAGGTTGGTGAGTGGTCTTTCCTAAGGGATTTGAGTAGACTAAAGTCTTAAATGTGTAGAGTGGTAGACAGGAATAGATTGGTTCCAAACCTAAGTGTTTCTTTGTGCAAAGGGCATTGCCCACTTACAGGAGCACCTCTGCAGCTTCTAATCTTCTGAAAGATCTAAATTAGGTGATGAGTATGATAGGTGTCCGTTAATGATTTGACTTAGGGTTTGGTTACACTTTGAATTTCTTAGGACTTGAGGTAGACCTGGAGGTATCCTGTAAGTATTTAATAGTCTATTTGGCCATTTGCAGTAAGACCTGTGGGTTTGTGGCAAACAGCCCCTCCTCCAATCCTGGCCTCAGTTCCTGAGTTCTGAATATTATCAGCCTTACCAGTTACCCATCCTCGAGTAGACTAGGATTCTGGTGTTATCCTGAGAGACACCACTTCATGGCCATCTTTCTCAGTCCAAGCTCAGATATTACAAATGTTTAGTGTTTCTAGGAGATAACCTCCTTATGAAGAGAAGTATGCTACCAGAGAACGTGAAATTCATCATTCCGAAAATATATGGTACTATATATATAGCTTCCAAAAGCTCTGTTCAGGCATTGTTCTTCCATATAGATAACTTATCCCAAAGTAGTTTTGAGTTTAGGGGCTTGAGATTTGGACCCTTAAATTGTTTCAAACAGCAGCATCCCCTGGGGATTTGATCCTTTATACTGAAATAGACTTGTTGCAGAGATGTGTATTTATCCACAGCATTGGGGCTTTCCAGCTCTCACAGAACCTTCAGCATCCCCAGCTGGCAGTCTTGGCATCTTCGAAGTAAGGAGAGGTGAGAATCCTGTTGCATGGTCAAGTTTGGCTTGACTTCTTTCTTATGAGTATTTGGGTTTGGAGGGTGAGGGGATGGTGGTTGGTGCAGACTGTTTTTTTCTGTAGCTTTTTTTGATAAGATGCCATGTGCTCAAAGACTACTGAAATGTACCAAAAGTCTATAAAGTGGTGATAGTTGGAGGTGGGCTATCCAGACTCAAGTTCTGTCATGATTTCTTTGTGGGCATTGCATGAGTGCCTACTTTAGGTTCAGGAAGGTTGAATACAGCCAGAACAGTCTTTCATCCTGAGAAATACACAGCTTAAGATAATAGGGAGGAACACATTCATTTGGCTTTGATAATGCATTTGACCAAGGCCTTTGGGATCTTGGTTTGATTTGGATTGAGAGTCATTGTTGGGTGAATGGTTAATCCCAGTTTATCCATTTTATAAGGATCAGGACTGACTAAAAAGGCAGACTCTGATGATTGATATCCAGGATATCAGAAGCTGTTTGTTCAATAATGAAGGGCCAGGTGCTTTGCTAGGTCCTGGAATTGTAGTAAACAAGACAGCTGCTGTCTCTGATGCCACAGGGCTTACAAATTCTGGGGAGGGAAAGATAGTAAAGAAGCAGTTATGATACACTCTGGGAGTGCTATGGTAGGGTAAGTTTGGGTGCTTTTGGAGTACTCAGGTCCTCAACCCAGACCTGTAGGCTCAGGGAAGCCTTCTCAGAGGAAAGAACCCCCTCATCTAGAATTAGATGAAGACATGAGGGACCAAGTGTGAAGGTCAGAGTTTTGTTGGGTTTGAGAAACTGATTTTCAGTGTGATTAAAACGTAGCGTACCCAGTGGGCAAGAAGTTGGAGAATATGATGAGAAATGAAGCAGGAAAGGTAAGCAGAGGCCAAGGCCTTTTAAGCTTTTAGGATTAGGTGATGGATGGAGAAAAAGTTAGACTAGTCAGGAAGAGACTAGGTCCTTTTTCTGTAAAGGACCAGATAGTAACTATTTAGGTTTCATGGGTCTCTGTCACAACTATTCAGTTCCATTCGACTCTGCTGTTACGGCATGAAAGCATAGTATGGAAATGAATGAGCATGGCTATGTTCCAGTAAAACTTGATAAAAGCAGGTGGCAGCTGGATTTGGCCCATGGAACACAGTTTGCCAACACCTGGATCAGACTATCATAAGAGCAGTAAGAAGCCATTAAAAAGTTTTAAGCTGTGTACTGATAAATAGATTTGTGTTTTAGAACATTTGCTCTGATTTCAGCGTTAACAATGGACTGAAGGGGATGATACTGAAGGCAGAGACCAGTAGGGAGCCTGTGATAGTTACGTGGACAGCATTTTATATTTACCCCTTTGAGGCAGTATTTTGACACTTAAAAATTGGGTATAACTGAATTTTTGCATAATGTATATACTGGTTCTCTTTATTAATTTCCTGGCCATTGACTAGAGCTTAAAGCATGTCTACCAAAGGAGTTGGTGATACCAGCTCCTATTTTACAGACTAGAAAAGATGTAGGAAGGGGAAGTAGGTGTAGAATGAGTGAAAAGGTTTGGGGAAGTCTTTTCTAATCCAAGAAGTAGGGAATAAATGGAACCCTGGTAGGGATGTTGGTCTTAGGGCTCATAGCTTAATGTCAGTTGCTTTAAACTTTTTGAACTATACAAAGAAGGACCCATTTTCCTAAGCTTCCTAGGGAATTGTCCACATTTTGTTATATGTCATACTCAATCTTTCCTTTCCTTGCTGGTGGCAGACTGATGACCTTTTTTTGTTTTGGGGACTGTCTCCTGGTTCAGATATGATGGTATATGCCAGGCACAGGAGGCAAATAAAGTATCTGTTGAGTGCCCAATGAATTGTCTTTCTCCTTCTGTAAGCCTACTTGCATTGCTGGAAGGAAGTCTGTAGGTTTCTGAAAGCCTATATTATGGTGTTTAGGTGACCTTGGGCAAATGACTTATCTCTCTGAGCTTTACTTTCCTATCTGTAAAATGCAGATAATGGGACTTAATAGGGTTTATTAAAGGATTTAATGAGCTAATGTATGTAAGGTTCTTAGCACAGTGTTTTAATAACTTTTGTCACTAATAGTATTTGACACAATAATTTTTTTAAAAAGCAGCCCACAATAGGGTGAGTTGGCCTTTGGCTTAGTATGTTTGGGGGCCTCAGAGTTGTCATTAAGGCCATATGATAGAAACATAACCACTGGTGGTGGCAGCCAGTAGACAGGAGGAAGTTATAACTAATGCAAGGGGCCACTCTTCGTAATGGAAAATTTTCAGACATCAGGAGTCCAGAAAATCAGAACTTTCTTCAGGGTAGACCTTAGCCCCAGTACCATCAGTGAAGTGAATTGAGTGAGCAGCTACCTGAAAGAAATTCACCAAAGTGTGACCAGTCATTTCTCCCATTTGGTTAGGGTCATTTATTAGTGTTTCCACCCTTGTGGCCCTACATCTTCATAAAGTGCCTCTTGAATGTTTTTTATTACTTTTCACTATCACTCTAGGAATGAATCAGGTGGTCAGTATTATTGTCTCTGCTACCCTTGTGAGGAAACTGAGGCCCATGAAGGTTAAGTGTGTTGCCCAAGGTCATGCTATAAGGTACTGTCAGAGCTAGTGCAGATTTGCCTCCAGATGAAATTGTGTTAGTTTATTGCTGTGATTTCTCTTCCTTCAAGTGAGAGATATGTAGTCATTGCAGAACTGCAGACTGATGCATGCTTTGTCCAGATGTGCTAGAAATGATTTGGGTCCCACTTTATCCACTTGGTCCTGTTGGGTTTTAATTGATGACTGCTTGGACCAGGAAAGCAGATTCCCTTTGGGTCATTGTTTTTAGCCCCTCCCTCTTTGGGGACATTCTTGGGGGAGCCTTGGGTTACAAGAGATTGCTTTGATATGTTCAAAATTGTGCCTTGTGCCCCACAGCTACAGGTAAAATCAAAAGGCAGATAATTTATGGGAGTGTCAGAGCTGGCCGCTGGCACCTCAGGAGGCCATTAGTATGCCTGTTCAGACCCTCTGTGTCCTTGCAATTGATTCCTCTTTGCATGAGCTTGATTTGGGAAGCTGTAGATCTGTGGGTAGTGATTGGATGTGACAGTCCAAACACCGGTCCCTAAATTAATCCTTTTAATAGTATTCCAGCACCAAGGCAATGTAGTGTCTCTCTCTGTCTTTAACTGGGGAGGACAGAATAGGGTGGGCTAGGAAGAAGGAGAAAGAGAAAAAAGAAGCTTTGCTTGGGGCTTAGGGTGTGCTCTGTTCTAACATGTTCTGATTCCAGAGCACTTGAAAAATTTGGGCATATTCATTCAACAAACATTGATTCACACTAACTTTGTGCCTGGTCCTGTGCTGGGTGCTGGGAATACAAAAATGAGTAAAAAAATGTGGTCCTTGCCCTTAAGGATCTGTGTCTATCTCTGTGTTTCTTAGATTTTTTTTTTAAAGTTTATTTATTTTTGAGAGAGAGAGCGCACGTGCACATGTGTGTGCACACAAGCAGGGGAGGAGCAGAGAGAGAGGGAGTCACAGAATCCGAAGCAGGCTCTGTCAGCAAGCAGCTGTCAGCTCAGAGCCGGATGCAGGGCTCAAACTCACCAAGTGTGAGATCATGACCTGAGCCAAAGTCAGACACTTACCCGACTGAGCCACCCAGGCGCCCCATTTCTTAGAGTTTTTAAACTCCTGCACTATTAAGGTGGAAAAAAAAAATCTTATGCTTTTCTTTAATGCTACTTGAAATTTTAAAATGCATTAAAGGGTCTGACAAGAAACAAGTCAAAGAAATTATGCTTTTTTACACACACATGCACACATACACATACCTATACCTGCTATCTTACATCCTTCTCACCTAACTCTGAAAATTATAGTAGGAGAAATAGATTAACTAAAATTTTACAATATAGTGAAACAAAAGTTATGAAATAGGAGTAGAATGTGTTACTGGATCACATTTAAACAGTTAGCTTTCTGATGGAGAGTCAGAGAAAGCTACTAAAAGGGAGTTTTGGGCTGCATTTTGAAGAAGGAGCAATAATTTGCCTGGTGAAAATGGAAGTAACATTCCAAAGGAGGGAAAGTAGCATTTGCCAAGGCACATATTTGTAAAAGGAAACATCACATCTGGGGACCTGAGCAAGTTCTGGTTGTCACCCTGCCCCTGCCAGTTCCTCTGCTCCTCCTCTGGAATTGTGTTTGAGAAGAGGCTTTGAGTTTCTTGTGTTACAGTTGTTTTAGTCCAAGGCACCACTTCCTGTTTCTGTTTTTTGTACCCAAGGCTGCAATTTGTTTTTCTTGTTAAAATGTAATAAATGTATTATGATAACAAATTTGGGTGATTTTGGACAGACTTATCATTGCTTATGGTTGAGTTACTTTTAGTTAAAGCCACACCTTAACTCAAAGGAAAAACTGAAGTTGATATGCATTTTTAGCCCTTTGGATGATCTGGGACTCAATCAAGTAGGGAATGTGTGCCCTCAAACATGGGAGAGGAGAATAGGGCCCTGAAGAACTGAGTGCCTCTGAGGCTTAGTTTTCTTGTATGTAAAATGGGAATACTGTTCCCCACTTTGCCTGAGAGTTGGGAGGGCTGAATGACATGAAATATGTAGATGACTAATACAGTGCCTGGCTTATAATAGATTTTTCAGAAAATCCTGTTTTCCTTTCCTCTTTCTCATGCCTTAACAATATTAGCTCCCTTCTATTGCATACTTTCAACACACCAAGTGCTTTATATACATTGTGTGGTTGAACTGAACCCCAAACAGATAGGTATCATTATTCATTATTATAGTTATTGTTATTAAGAATGTATGGTAGAGAGGTGCCTGGTTGGCTTAATTGGTAGGGCATGCAACTCTTGATCTTGGAGTCATGAGTTTGAGCCCCATGTTAGGTGTGGAGCCTACTTTAAAAAAAAAGAAAAGAAAAGAAAAAAAAAAAAAGAATATGTAGTAGAGTCAGGATTTCA